AACATTAACCAAGTAAATAATTCATTTAGAGTCAGTACATTTGTACGGAAATTCGAGAACAATGTCCAAACTTTTTGGTGACCATAACACAATCTGACGGCTAGCGCCAAAAAGGTGAATTGGATTGAGTGGTTATTTTTGTGAGGATGATGTCAACTCACCATCAGGTTTTATTTCAATRTCCTCTTCATTCACAGGAGCCATAAGCTTCTTACTGAACTCTTCACCAAAAGCCACTAATCCTGCTCCRTTGAACCCTTCTGGGAACCTAACAGTAATACAAACAGCAAATAATACTCAAAAAGTAGAGCATTTCCAACATTGAGTGAAAAAAGTAGTGACGCATGCATGACGCATAAAGATTGGATTGTGTGTACCCTTAGATCTTAGATCTGTAACTCTTGCACACAACATAACCGAAACATACATGTAATAGAGAGTCTGGAATATGTTGAGCTGGCAATGATATGGCATTCTTAGCCAATGCTATGCAACTTTGTGTGGRTAGCTTTAGTTTTCTCAATACTCCTTTTTTACATTTCTATTCAGTGACCACGAATAATAGTTCCAAGTTGAGGTTGAAGTTGTTGCACATGACAAACACTATAGTTTTACTATGCTCGGCAACTCCAACCTTGACTTGAAACTTTTATTCACAGTCACTGATCGGAAACTGTAAATAGGAGTATTCATAAATTTATTCCTCAAMGACTCTGTCAATAGCAACATTGCATGTGACAGTTGCACCATTTATGAGGGGGCACACAACAGTTACAATTAAAAGAAAATTGTACCGATAATAACCTGTGACCTAACTTCTAAACTCGTGAATTTCAAATTTTTCTCGTGCTCTTCCAGCAACTCGCGTATTTAAATAAAACATAATGGAAAAATGGAATGTGATTCTTTAAGAATAAATAAATGCACAATTAACTAAACTTGAACTAAACTTGAAACTCCTTTAAATATTTGTATTTTCTTAAGACCTGGAGCACAGAAAGTACCAAAGTTCCCTGTCAACGTTATAAAATACTGCAGTTGCTTTTCATCCATTTTCAGACCTAAAAATGATCGTACCAGAATGAATATCGCCTGTARATATAAACATTGATAACTTATATGTCAGACAAACCTGTCGGGGGAAGACGTCGTTGCTGTTCCATTGTTTTCCTGAGTTGAGATATTATCTGCTGAGCTTTGTCCAGTTGTTACTTGTCTAGAATATAAAGCTACAGTTTTTCTTAAATTTAAGGAGGAAAGGGAGAAAACAGGTCGTAATTGTAAAAGTGAAGGCATGACGATCCGTCCACGTGAAGCCGCCATCTTGGACGGGAAGTTAAGGGAGGTCTGGGATTAAATTAACACAGGATGCCCATTTTGAGTTTTTTCTTGTCACTTTTTCTCAAGTAATGTAGTTTTTAAATTTATAATTAATAAATTAATTTTTCCGAATTTAATTCCAAGGGCTTTCGCCCGGAATAACCTCGTTCCCAAGCACTACAACTTACCTATATTATCTTCTACTATTTCATTAGTGCCACGCGGTCCACATACTCTCTAGTTTTTTTATATATTTAGAAATATTCACTAGCTAGAACGGATCAAAAACTTAAATTGAAATTAAATTGAAATAAAAAATTTTGATACTAAAGTACAAAATTAGTAATTGACATTATTTGTGATTATCGGTGAATACTTAATGAATGGACCATTAATTCACCGATATTCACTGAGGATAAGGCGACTGATTGTTTTAGTACAATTTTAGGCTTAAATATCAGAGAAAAAGACGAAATTCAGGATATAAAAACATTTTATTCCARCTTCCGCTTTGAACAATGAAAGGAGTTATCGAATTGGCTATTGTTTTCTGGTCATGCGATTTTCTACCCTGAAGAGTTAAAAGGAGACTCTGCTCGCAGGGTAGCGATTTTCACGTGACTTTCAGGAATTTGAGCCAAATTTGTCTCCGTTCAGTCTTCTTCTAGTGGGTATCTCGCGTTGAACCGAACTTTATAACTCTGATTATTGCTAGAGATGGTTAATGCCAATCAAGTCAAGCAAGTGGAAGTGAAACAGTTGTCTCATGATTTAATGAACAACGAGTGTAGATGGAAAAACCCCGAAGATAAGAAGAAAGTGCGGATGGTTAGAGTTGTAGTATATTATTACACTGATTCAGAAGGGAATATCGCTAACGTTTCCATGACATGCTGTTGTGAACATCAGGGTACAGCTGAAGAATCCCTAATTGCAGACAACGGACTGACCCGCTAATAACAGATGCAGTTGTGATCACTGAGCCACAGAACTCCAAATCAGTATACACTYTTTACAGGAAGGTACTTAGAAAAATCCAGCCTAAAAAAAACTTGATATTCGATTCCGAAGGAAGTGACCGCCGTCAATGACATATTTCTCTTTCCCAAGAATTTTATCGAATTTTATAAATTTTTAAACTGAAAATATAATGTAGTTTTTTTTAATGTATGAAGGCTGTAGATAATCAAACATATTTTCTTATAGCGACTTCATAATAATAAAAATGATAGTGATAATGATTTGACCCCCTGAGAGCGGGGAGAGAGGGGAAAACCTGGATAAAAGTATCGGGTATGCTTGTCGAATCTCTCTGGGGTAAATGAAAATGATACATGATGAGGATGATTTTGGTGATGCTGGTGGACGGGGTGGTAGTGGCGGTGATGATGATGATGATGATGATGATAATGATGAAGAAGATGATGATGATGATGACCTGACTACAATGAAACGTGATGATGATACATAATAATGATGATGATGATGATGATGATAGTGTTGATGAAGATGAGTAATGATGATGACCTATGATGATTGACCGGAAGCGATTTTGTAATTATTTTGAGCGGAAGTGACTCCGTGTGTAATGTGATAGGGGGTGTGGTGCGAGGAGTTCAAAAGACTAGTAATCACATTCACTCGCCAAACGACTCTCTCTAAACGTGAATCAAGGACCAAATCAATTGACTGTTTTGTGGCGAAATCAACTTTCGTACAATGATGATGATGTTGGTGATGATGATGATAATAATGATGGTGATGATGATGATGATGATGGTGATGATG